CTGCCAGTAAATTCCAATAGCAAGAGAGAGATTCTCCCGGGTTAGGAGCTGGCTTGGAGAAATGGAATAGACGCTTGAACGCATACCGACCGTGACATGTTTCTTTTTTTGTTGCGAACCCTTCGACTGGGAACTTGTCCATCGGAGGGGAAATTAAGTCCGCCCGCTCCCAACCGGTCAGGACCGGGCCGCGCCGACTAACTCCACTTCGGCCCTTAATGCGCTAAAACATCCACACCTTGTTTTGGGAATGAACACCTAACGGGGAACGTCCTTTACATGGTGAAGCTGCAACTTTCACTCTGCACTTTGCTCTTACCTTCCGGCTGCACTCGGACAGTCGGACTTGGGTGCTATGGAAATCACCAACCGAACGAAAGCTTTCTGAGAGATTCCGGTCTCCAGCAGATCCTTTGTGGATAATGTGACATGGAGGTCACCAAGAGCGATATACGTGGTCGCCGGAGATCTTGAAAGTTTTTATTGTATCATCTAACTTTGCGAGTGTTTCCGGTTGTTACAGGAAGCCCCTGCAGCCATGTAGAGTAGCCTGCTCCGTTATTGGAGGTCCTATTCTTCACAACCAGTGGGCAGAACCTCTGTTGTCCGAGTCTGACAATTGCCTTCCCAGTATCTAACTTTAGGCATGGCCTGGCTTCCAGAGCTTCCTCTTCTCAGAATCATCATCAGCATTTGCCACTCAGAATACCTCAATACAAGTCTTGTCCGGGATAGCTACCTTTTCCCCTATCATCGGTATGTATATTTGCGTTGGGAAAAAGACAGCGTGCGCAATTGAACCCCTCTTATGCATGCAATAACATTTCAACAACATTTGGTCGAGGGGCTTCTTTTATTAGCATGTGAGAAATGGACATAAATGCAACGGACTTCCTTATCCGCCTGGTATGCAGGCATTGCATTTATTTTCACGCAACCTGACCAGCCACGTTCAGTCACTGGACGAGGGTATAACTCTTGCCAGTTCTTTTGGTTCTTTCCTTCAATCCCTTCAATTCCTTCCAAAGAACCAGCAGCAACAGCGGTAGTTCCTCCCATCTCTGTCAAAGAACCAGAACCAGACCCATCAAAGCAGTTCTTTAAAACCTGTGCTGCTCGCTGCTTGATTCCTCTTCTTCTTTTTTACTCGGTAACATTATTATCCCCCTCATCCGACTCCCCAGCCTTTCGGCAGCTCATCTTCTGCGACCATGGCTCCCAAGGACACCGCGACCGTATCCGAGGCCGACGTGCCCCTCACGACACTCGCCAAGAGCGATATCATTCCATGGTATCGCAAGCCCAACCTCCAGTGCCTTTACGTCGTGTTGTTTTTTGCTGCTACGCAGCAGAATGGGCCTCGGGAATGGATTCGGCTTTGATGAACAGCGTCCAAGCCCTGCCAGCTTGGAAAGCTTGTATGATTTTCTTCCATTCCACTGCAGATCCTGAGAGTCCCAACGTCATGGAACATCGGCTAACCAACATTTTGGACAGTCTTCGGTAACCCAGAAATGGGTGCACTCGGCCTCCTGACGGCCATGTACTCCCTCGGGGGAATTTGTGCCACTCTATTCATTGCTTGGATAAGCCAACGATACGGGCGCAGGGAAATCATGCGCATATTTTTGCTGATGCTCTGTGGTGGTGCGGCCATGCAGGCCTTTTCCACAAACACTTCGATGTTCCTCGCCTCGCGGTGGCTGCTGGGGTTTGGGATCCCGTTCTCGCTGGTTAACAGCTCTGCTCTACTCGCAGAGCCGACCCATCCCAAAGACCAACCGACGTTAATCTCTCTTTTCAATGCCACGTGGTCTCTTGGTGCAATCCTGGCCGCCGCAACAACCTACGCCGCCTCGAACATCGCCGGTGACTGGTCCTGGAGGCTACCCAGCAAATCGTGCCGAGTGTGTTGCAGTTGGGTTTCCTCCAGTTTTGCCCCGAGTCACCTCGGTGGCTCACGTCCAAGGACCGCCATGGGGAGGCATGGAGCATCATGATGAAGTACCACAATGAAGGGACCAATGGCCAAAAGTTTGCACGGATAGAACACGATCAAATTTCCATCACGCTCGCTGAAGAACAAAGGCTCAAGAGCCCATTCATTTTTGGGGATATCTTCCGGGATGCGCCAATGAGGAAGCGCTTCGCCATCGCTGCTATCATCGGGGTCTTCGGCCAATGGTCGGGCAACGCTCTACTCAGTTTCTATACGCCGATCATCCTCGATGCTATTGGCATCACGAACGGAACCACACAGCAGCTTATCATCCTTGGCCGGACATGCTGGGAACTGGCCGTTGCTGTCCCTATGTCGTTTTTGACACCGCGATTCGCCATTCCGCTGAGGGAGTTGAGACCGATCCCTAAGGAGGCATCGGAAGAGGACACGGAGGAGACGGATTGAGAGGGGGTGATGTTTTCTCTTTTTCCTAAAGGGTGTTGGCGCCGGAACTTCCTAGAACACACGTCAGTATCCATACCAAGTATGATTACCTAATATCATCACCAAGTATCGGCCACAGATTCTTGTGCCTGTTGTTTGACATCGCTGGTGCTAATGCCTTGTGTCATTTTCCGTGAAGTGAAAGAAGGGGACGTGTGCGGGAAGGAGCGCTTGTCTTAAGGCGCTAAAACACTTATCCACACCTCCATCCATGTGAGAGGAAGGAAAGCTGGTCGTGAACGCCTTTCACGCGAAGTCACAACGTCCATACTACCCTTGCCCTTGCATTCGAACTTGGGCGTGATCGCAATTACCGAGCTTGTCTTCGACCCTGACGACCTCGTTAAAGGGAAGTCGTAACCGGCCTTGTGCGATGTTGCCCGCTCTGTTCTTGCAGACTTTGCGAGGCATTCTCCCTCTTGCTCGTTGGCTCTTCGCAGTCTTCCGTTCAATCTCTCTCCGGTACAATACTATCCAATCACTCCCCAATTACAATCACTTGCTCATCTTTTGGAGACCTGAACCATCAACGATTACCAGAACAAACACAAACATACTGGCATCACTTTCAAGGTCCTCTCAGGACACGGTTACTGTCACATCAAGTGAACCTCTTCGATCTACATCACGTCTTGAGGGTTTCATCGTCAAACTCTCGTCGCAGGAGTTAGTTGGATTCGCCTTTCACGGTCAACATATCCAACCTAGAGCGTGTGCCAGAACTGTAAGCTTCAACTATTCATCATACCCAATTCCTGTTGTACCTTTGGGCGGGATGGGCGGTTGGCAGCTGTTGCTACAGAACGAATAGTAACCAAAAGCTCGGCGGACAGACATTTTTTCTCCACTGATAACTCTTTCCAGACCTCTAGGTCATTGTCATTTGATCAATCTCAACAATCGACCCAACCTCGTTCAGACGGTTCAGACATCGGGCTCTATCCTCAACGAGCAAAAGATGTCAGCCGATTCATCGCCGTGCGGGACACCAGCCTGGAACGACAGCTACGGTGTCGAGTTTAACGGGTTTGACCAAGTTGACAAAGAGATACATATTCGGATCTTTAGATATATGCTCTCCACCTTCCAGGGCCATTTCGGGTTGGAAACCTCCAAGCATCGAACCCCCAGACTTTGTCTGAATCACGAGGAGAAATGGGACGATGATCTCGCCTCTGAATTTCGTCTTGCCTTTTGTGACTGCATTCCCAGGCAAGATAACAAGCACGGATACCGATGGAAATGGCGACTTATTGACATCAGGATTATCTGCGACGTGTAAGCGCTTTTAAATGTAAGGACCCTGTTCTATTGAACTTGTGCTGACGGCATAACAGAGCTTATAGTTTTATGAAGCGGGAACAGCGCATCGCTGACACAAATGAAACTGACTTCTTCACTCTCCCAAATCAATCGAACAGACATCGGAGTCGCCGATTCGTGTTGCGAAAACTTCGAGGTCTACTCGCCGATGCCAAGAGAAACGAGATACTCGATAGGGGCCATACCGGGACCATAACTCTTGGCCAATTCTTCACGCGGCCGAAGAAGCCACCCACCGAAGCCTTAAAATACACTCCCGATTTTGTGAAGAGGACCTTCATGTTGTCCTTGGTCCTTTTGAAAGCCTTTAATAGATTTTACAAAACGAGCATGATGCCAAGGCCGTGGACTGAAGATACCATTGAGTTTATTTTCGAGCGTAACCCAGTGAACGGCTTGCGCACTATCTTACACAGCTCACCGATGATATCGGCACCCGCTGACACGGAAAACGATATAACCGCTCTGACTTCTCGTTTTGATGGGCAGTCTTTGGAGGATCAAAATTGCCCGAAATCAAAGCGTTCGGGGTCTTGCTTCTGCAGATCTGGCTTGAGATGCCCATGGCAGAGTTAAACAGGCAGCACCCCGGATATTTTGAAAATGGCAAGGTGACTAGGACGGGACAGTCGAATCTCTGCCACTCGTTGGACACCGGCATCCTTAGATACCTCCCCGCAGAGTTGCAGCCCTTACGCAAAATCATTGAAACATGTTTCGATGATGAGGTTTGGGAGAAGTGTGAGCCCGGAAATGTTGAGCCAGAGACCATTGAATGGCAAATGGTCACGCGACTCTGGCGGCCATTGATCCGGCTTTCGGGCTTTCATCATTTCGAATGAGAGGAAAGCGATAGCCCAGAAGAAAGAAGTCGAAGAAGAAGACCGAGGAAGTTCCGTACTAGACTTGAGATCTACATCTCAACTCGGACTGCGCAGACAATACAGGTCTTAGCTCTGGTGATCCTGGGGAACGGAATGGGAACTTGACCGCGGTATTCTGCTGGGGTGTTTAAGCCAATACAGCGCATGTATTTCCAGCGAAGAAATAGATAGTCGGCATTCAGTTTCAAGATACAAATTTTTCCGACTATTCTGAATCTCATTATCACCCTCAGACTCTGACGACAATGCCATGAGCCCCCCGTAGGTTGATACACAACCAGTGAGATTGGGCTGATTATCAATATTGAGGGTGTCGCTGGCGGAGATATATATATGGTTCTAGATTTCAATGCGATACTATCACCAATTGTCTTGCTTACCCAGGACAGGACCTTGGCATCAGCCACCCTCAGAACTCGACCTCATTTCGTGTTTATTAACAATTTGTACGCCGACCTTAAGGACCATCACGATGGATGTTTGGGGGGAAGGTGCTTTGCAGACATTGCAAATTGACCGATCCTAAAAAGATGTGAAAACCTCGGGAAAGCAAGTGGGTGAAGAAAAGGCAAGTGAAGTGAAAAGTGTCGAGAAGAGAGACGGGCGGGTGGTGGATGTAACGCTGGTACCGAGTGTTTGGATACCCCCAATCAGCGATGTTCCCCCTGGCGGCTATGACCCCTGAAGTTCAACACCATTGGCTTTCAGATCTCCGCTACTAGCGCGCCTATTTTGGGTGGCTCTGAAGACCTGGGCTGGCCACCAGGGTGAGTTTCAGGATGATGGCGACCATGTCCATGATGTTTAGCCTTGTCTTCGTGTGTATATATCCAATGTCTCGCCCAATGTTCATGGTGAGTTCTTATGTGCCATATCTCAAGTCTCAATATCATCATTGTCATTGTCAGCATCACTAGTAGCTTCATCACCTACTGACTTCATCACATACTGTCGACACCAACATCTCTTCCAAGTCTTTCACCATGGAAAAATGCTGGTTCCCCCTCCGAGACACTCACTTCCCACCTCCTTCTCTCGAAAGCATGCGCTCCGGCAGTCCTTCCTCCCCCGCCCCTTCCCTAGGCCATCTCATCCCCTCCCTCAACCGCCTCGACCAGATCATCAACGCCGATGGCTTCGAGCCCTTCCCACCGGCCACCATGGAAATCTGGGGCCCGACACTGATAGAAGACTTTTCCTGGGACCAATCCCTCACGCAAAAATCCACAGTAAAACTCAAAGCCAGCGCTCCCCTCGCCGGGGCCGTCATCCCCGGCGCTGAATTGGGCGTTGGCGTGGGAGCGGCGTTTAGCAAGAGCGTGGGCAATTACTGGGAATTTGATCGGTTGGAGAGATACATAGTGCAGCCGACGAGGAGTTATGTGCAGAGGTGCATTGAGAGGGATGATGTGAAGCGGTGGATTGCGAAGAATAAGAAACTGGGTGGGAGGTGGGAGGTGTACATGGTTACGGGCATTATGGTGGCGAGGGGGGGGAGGGAGGAAGAGGAAACGGGAGACGAGCGAGAAGGGGGTGTTTGCGGAGGTTACGGTGTAAGTTCATTTTCTTTGGAAATCCGACGGCAGTCAAAAAGAGCTCGAGAGTTCGAAAGTTCGAGCCGAGTCAAGTTCGATTCTGGTTCCGGTTCCGGGTCCCGGGCTGAGTCCTGCACCTTCTAATGGTGACTGCTTCCCAATTTCTGGGAAGGACTGCGCCTGGATGCGCTGCACTTGGAGGTAATGCTTGCCTGGCGGGCCTAGGTACAAGCAAAACATGGTCAAATGCATGCATGGAGACGATGCGCTAACGCAAATGCTTCTTGACAACAGGGAAATGCCGCTTACCGTTGGGGGTGGTCCGGAGGTCAAGAGGGAAAGAACGAGGCAGATGACGTGGGGTGGCAGCCAGACACATGACTTTGTTTGGGCCGTGAGGCTGGCCAAGATTACCAAGAACGGGTTACAGTCGGATTGGAAAATGGAGACGGTGGTGAAGAAGACTTCGTTTCGTGGGCAAAAGGCGATATTTTGAGAGGTTGAACTTTGAAGATGGGAGGGCATCTTCGCTTCAATGTACCCACATCAGGTTGAGTGTTAGGTCCGGGAACTTCCTTACCGAGCGGTCCCACATATCCGGTCCTCCGAGACGAACTTATTCCCGGTCCCTCATCCCGTCTCCCGGTGAGACTCCGGACGAGAATGACTACTACCCCGACTACCAATCCAGTCCCTCTGATGTCCCCTTCTCCTTAGCCTCCAAATCCCCAATCTTCTTGTCGGCCCTCTTATACCCCTCATGTTCCTCCAGTCTCGCGACATACTCAAACAGCTTGGGAAACTTCTCCTTCAATTTCCCCTTCTGACTCTCCCCTCCGAGCGCTTCCACTCTGGGCAAGTTCAGCAGCGGATAGCTCACCAGAATATCCGCCGCCGTCAACCTGTCACCGCACAGATAGTTGCCACCCTTGGGTGATGTCTCCAGTTGCTGCTGGAGAAAGGCGCAGTGCTTCTCGATGTTAGGGACGACGAAGGAGTTGTGCACCTTGCCGGCGACGGTGGAGGTGATGGGCGGATGAAGAAGGGATTTTAGGGCCCGAGATGACTGCCCCTTTGTTAGAACTTCCCTTTTCCACATTGGAAGGATGGGTGAAGAAATAGAGACTCACCAGAAAGAATCAGCGCCACCAACAACGGCGGCATCAAGCTTCCCTCAGAATAATACAGCAAATGCTGATATCTCATCCACTCCTCCGTCTCGCCGCCCAGCTTTCCTTCCTGTCCATCATTGTACTTCTTGGGTATCAGATCTTTCCCAAAATGGTCGCACAAGTACTGCGCGATGAAGGGACTCTCGGCCAGGACAATCTCCTTGGCGCCGGGCTCAGTAGGTTGGATGGTGACGACGGGCGATTTGCCTAGCGGATGGATTTGTTGAAGCTCGGCGGGCGCGAGCATGTCCTTCCCGCGATGGAAGATCTTGACGTCGTAGGGGACGCCGAGCTCCTCGAGAAGCCAGACCATGCGTTGCGCGCGGGAGTCATTGAGCCTGTTAGCAAAAATTGTTAGTGGGTTATCAAACAAAGGTGGGCGTTAGATGGGCATACCAGTAGAGCGTTATCTTGGGGTGGTCTGTGGTGGTCGCCATTTTGTTCGGTCTTGTCCGTCAACAAATACAGCCAGTTCTTTTGTGCGATTGAAGTTTCCAGATTAAATATTCACTGTCGGAGACTTTTCGTTTTTCCATCGCATCGTGCATCAGCTGAGTGATGTTACCGACAACCAACGGAGAGAAAGAACAGTCTCGATGACGTTGTGGTGGAATGGGGTACAACCATCACCCGCTAGCACCCGCTAAAAGCGGAAGGCTGGGCGGGCGTGTTACCGGATCCGTTCCAGCGCACGATTTGATCGTCAGGAACCTCACATCCCTGGGCGTAATCCCTGCCACACCACAACTGGACAATGGCATGTCCGATTGAGCACTTCGACTATTTTCTGGATGGTCGGAAAGTCCGTCTTACCCGCAGGTGAAGTGGAATTGACTGAGAACCAATGACTTCGACATCGAAGAAGCTGTATTGTAGATATCGCTAGAGGTCGGAGCAAACCGGCGCTCTGTGTTCTCACGGCTTCACAGGTTTCGCGAAGCATCAGATCCGACGGAGTGCAAGGGACACTGGTGGATGTTGGGCCAGTCAAATCTGGTATATGCTTGTTAGAAAGCGGGAACAGAAAGGGTTTGTTTGACTTTGCCAGATTTTATGGGAAAACCCTGGGAGAAAAATGAGAGAGATGATGAAGGTAAGAGAAAAGTGCAAATGGAAAATGAAAAGAAAGACAAAAAGACTGAAAATATCCCTTGACAACCAATTCAGGGCCCAGGGTCCAGACAGTCAAGCAAACTGCAGACGCAAGGAAGCTCGGGAGTTGCCGGCTATTCAATATCCTATTCAGCGTTTCGAGTAGGGATCATGATGCTCGCCATCGCCAGCCAACAACATCATGTTCAACTTGGCTGATCCGAGTTTTATATCGAAGCTAACCGCCAGTCATTATCCGAAGACCATCACCGATGAACTGGACTCTATCCGCTTTTTCTGCATCTTGGTCATTGTCCCTTCTTTTTACCCCGGGCTGCTCGGCCAAACACCGGAGCCAAGACCCGTGTCGACTCTCATGGGGCCCGGATAACGACCGATATGGTCCTCATTTTACATCTCACATTCCATCCGGAGGCCTGGAAAGAACTGAAAGATGGTCCCAAGTGCTGAACTGCTGATATTCCATGCCCCCTTCCCTCCGCCAAGTCCCCATCAATGCTCTTGGGTCTTGAACACACATCAAGCGAAACATTGTCCACGAGTCCCAGGGTACAAGGGCACCAGGAACTCGGGGAAATCACACAACAACATAGAATCATCCACTCACTCCGCCCCACGGGTGCTCACGAAAGCGAGTTCCACGCATCACCCATTCTCGAAAAACAATCGACATCAAAGAGCCTATTCAGCCCTATTCAGAACCGTTGAACCCCTGAAGCGCTTTGTTTACCTTCCTCGGTGGCTTCATCACCGGCAACCACGAGGTTAGATATTTCTTTGTCTTTGACCATGACCACGATACTCGCTCGGATCGAAGGGGCTAAAATTGGTCAGGAGTTATGTAGACATCCCTTGATAATGAAGGGAATATCTCTCGACACCGGAGCGAGAGTCATCAGTGTACTTGGTGGATAAGTGAATGAGTCCTCGGGTTCGAACAATAAGATTCGAAAGAGATATAAAAAGACACCCCTTGTCTGACCACCCTGATCTAACGACGATACTGTTCTTGCTTTTCCTCTTTTTCACTCAAGTCCATACACTCGTATTTATCTCGCGACAGATATCAACCACTCTCTTTACAAGCAACCAACCACAGTCAGTTCGAATTTCGAACTCGACGAAAAGAAAACCAACACGAGATGCATATCTCCCAGTTCTTGCTGCCTCTCACGGCCTTGCTGGCGACCGCTACAGCTGTACGTCTTTTTCTTTCTCGTCCTCTCATTCACTCTACTCCTCTCTTCATGGCTACCGCCGCAACAATCTTCCTCTTCCACAGCCATCTTTTTCCACTTCCATTATCACCCTCTCTTCCCTCACCTTACCTCACCTCACCTTACCTCTCCTTCCCTCTTTTCATCCGTCTCCTGTATACAAAGACTAACCCCCATCACTCACACCAGGCCCCTTACAACCTCGAACAAGACGCCGATCTCATCAAACGCTTAGAAGAAGCTGGCGCCCGCGCTCGCGCCGACCCCAACCTCGAAGCCCGTTTCGCCTCCGCCTTCTACCCTCGCGAAACATCCACTCCTCTAAAAGCCGTCCGCTCCTCCTCTTCCTCTTTATCAAGCGATGACACCGAAATCGAAGACGACCTCTCCACGCTCCCATCGCTGCCCTACCCCGGCTTCAACCCATACAACCTCACCCTCCCGGACCCCTCTCTCTATCCCCTCCCCCCTCAAAACCCCCAC